ATGGAGGAAGTGTGAACCCACCTAGCCGCTTGTTCTTTGATGTGTGATTCGTCGTAGGCTGGCTGGTAAAATTCACTGTTAGGTTCCAGATAATGTGCTTTAATTCTGACGACCAAAAGTACTAATCATACATCGTTGTCAAGGCACCTCGTACTATTTTGGAACTTGGTGGATAAAACTGTCGACGTGGAAGTTGATCAAAATACCGTCCATCCTGTAATCCTAATGTTAAATTTGTAGCGAATCTTCCTGCTTTTTTCAAAATATCCGGACCTCCTTTGTGCATAGGGGACACTACGTTTTAGTCTATCTCCAGATGAAACGGGTAACAGAACTCCATTGTCTGTCTCAAGCTTAGATAAAGATGCTGGGTTAGGCTTGTGGTTGGCGACCCATCGCATAAAATCACTGATTTGCTGAAGAAAGCTAACCGGAAAAATCGATTCAAACCATTTTAACTCTGCCCTGGGAGTTAGAAGGTCTTCATTCAGAAGAGTTATGACGTCTCATGATGAATGCCGAGTTCCTTCGGAAGTCACGAGGTCGATGACACATCTCAGAAGCAGAGCAACAATTAGTTCAGGTACATGGAATGTTCGTACAATGCGGGTGACTATGAGGATCATCAAATTGCTTCGGAAGTGAGAAGATACAAACTAAAGGCACTCGGAATCAGTGAAACACATTGAAAACAGGTAGGACAACTGAGACTAGCTTCAGGAGAGCTGCTGTTATACTCTAGCCATGAAGAAGATGCCTCACAAACACAAGGAGTTGCATTGGTGCTGTCCTATCAATCACAGAATCCATTGATTGGATAGGAATCTCACGGATCCAGAATCATCAATGCACCTTTCAAAACAAAGAAATCATTACAATGAACGTCATCCAATACAATGCACCTAGCAACGACTACGATGCTGACGGTAAAGATCAATTCTACTAGAGGCTGCAGTCAATCTTAGAGAGATGCTCGTTAAAAGATTTGATGATTCTGATGGCAGACCTAATTACCGAGGTTGGCATGGACAGCACTGAATATGAAAACATCATGGGACAGCGTGGACTGAGAGAAAGAAACGAGAACGGTGAGATCTATTTGTGCTGCTGCTTACCATCGTGTGAAATGCTGCACAGACAACAGAAAATAGTATCCATTTGAACCCAGTAACGCTTTTACCAAGTGAAAATGGACGTGGCTGAAGAGGGTCAGTAATTAAGGATGTACCTAAGAGATATTTGTTATGCTTAATTATTCTAGTTTCCTGGCATTTAGAAGAGTTATGACATCTCATGACGAAAGCCGTGTTCTCTCGGAAGTCACGAAGTTGATGACACACCTCAGAAGCAGAGCAACCATTAGTTCAGGTACATGGAATGTTCGTACAATGTAGGTGACTATGAAGATCATCAAATTGCTTCAGAAGTGAGAAGATACAAACTAAAGGCACTCGGAATCAGTGAAGCACATTGAAAACAGGTAGGACAACTGAGACTAGCTTCAGGAGAGCTGCTGTTATACTCTAGCCATGAAGAAGATGCCTCACAAACACAAGGAGTTGCATTGGTGCTGTCCTATCAATCACAGAATCCATTGATTGGATGGGAATCTCACGGATCCAGAATCATCGATGCACCTTTCAAAACAAAGAAATCATTACAATGAACGTCATCCAATACAATGCACCTAGCAATGACTACGATGATGACGGTAAAGATCAATTCTACTAGAGGCTGCAGTCAATCGTAGAGAGATGCTCGTTAAAAGATTTGATGATTCTGATGGCAGACCTAATTACCGAGGTTGGCATGGACAACACTGAATATGAAAACATCATGGGACAACATGGACTGAGAGAAAGAAACGAGAACGGTGAGATCTATTTGTGCTGCTGCTTACCATCGTGTGAAATGCTGCACAGACAACAGAAAATAGTATCCATTTGAACCCAGTAACGCTTTTACCAAGTGAAAATGGACGTGGCTGAAGAGGGTCAGTAATTAAGGATGTACCTAAGAGATATTTGTTATGCTTAATTATTCTAGTTTCCTGGCATTTAGAAGAGTTATGACATCTCATGACGAAAGCCGTGTTCTCTCGGAAGTCACGAAGTTGATGACACACCTCAGAAGCAGAGCAACCATTAGTTCAGGTACATGGAATGTTCGTACAATGTAGGTGACTATGAAGATCATCAAATTGCTTCAGAAGTGAGAAGATACAAACTAAAGGCACTCGGAATCAGTGAAACACATTGAAAACAGGTAGGACAACTGAGACTAGCTTCAGGAGAGCTGCTGTTATACTCTAGCCATGAAGAAGATGCCTCACAAACACAAGGAGTTGCATTGGTGCTGTCCTATCAATCACAGAATCCATTGATTGGATGGGAATCTCACGGATCCAGAATCATCGATGCACCTTTCAAAACAAAGAAATCATTACAATGAACGTCATCCAATACAATGCACCTAGCAATGACTACGATGATGACGGTAAAGATCAATTCTACTAGAGGCTGCAGTCAATCGTAGAGAGATGCTCGTTAAAAGATTTGATGATTCTGATGGCAGACCTAATTACCGAGGTTGGCATGGACAACACTGAATATGAAAACATCATGGGACAACATGGACTGAGAGAAAGAAACGAGAACGGTGAGATCTATTTGTGCTGCTGCTTACCATCGTGTGAAATGCTGCACAGACAACAGAAAATAGTATCCATTTGAACCCAGTAACGCTTTTACCAAGTGAAAATGGACGTGGCTGAAGAGGGTCAGTAATTAAGGATGTACCTAAGAGATATTTGTTATGCTTAATTATTCTAGTTTCCTGGCATTTAGAAGAGTTATGACATCTCATGACGAAAGCCGTGTTCTCTCGGAAGTCACGAAGTTGATGACACACCTCAGAAGCAGAGCAACCATTAGTTCAGGTACATGGAATGTTCGTACAATGTAGGTGACTATGAAGATCATCAAATTGCTTCAGAAGTGAGAAGATACAAACTAAAGGCACTCGGAATCAGTGAAACACATTGAAAACAGGTAGGACAACTGAGACTAGCTTCAGGAGAGCTGCTGTTATACTCTAGCCATGAACAAGATGCCTCACACACACAAGGAGTTTTATTGATCCTGTCCTAACAAGCACAAAACACATTGATTGGATGGGAATCTCACGGATCCAGAATCATCAATGCATCCTTTAAAACCAAGAAAAAGGGCATTTCAATGAAGGTCATCCAATGCTTCACGCCTACGAAAGATAACGATAAGGATGTCAAGGATTAATTCTAGGAGAGACTGCAGTCAATAATCGAGAGATATGCGTTGAAGGATTTTATCATTCTGATGGGAAAACTTAATTTCAAGGTTGGCATAGACTACACTGGATAAGAAGACATCATGGGGTGACATGGACCAGGAGAAAGGAAAGAGAACGGTGAGAGATTTACAAACCTATGTGCCTCCAACAAACTAGTCATCGGTGGCACGTTATTCCCACACAAACACATGCACAAAGCTGCATGGATTTCACCGCATTACACTACTACGAATCAAATAGACCACATCTCTTTCAACAAAAAGTTCAGGACTATGGATGACGTGAGATTGAAGAAAGTAGCTGATATAGTCTCAGATCACCACCTTCTGGCCGCCAAAATGAAAGTGAAACTCAAGAAGCACTGCACAACGGGGCGAAAAACATTTCAAATGTTTGATGCATCCTCCTGTTAAGATATCAGAAAAACTCAACGAATTCATGATAACCCTCATCAATAGGTCCAGGCTTTTCACAAACTACTCAATGGAAAAGAAAACTACCATGGAGAACGATTGGAAATGGATCAAGGAAACACCAGCCTCTGCATATCATGAGGTTCTGGGCTACAACAGGCACCGTCACATAGTATGGATCTCTGTGTATACTCTAGATAAGATTCCAGGAAAAAGCAACAGGTGAACAGCAATCAGTACCAAGTGAACAAGAGCAGAACCAGTCAAGACACGTGCTGAATATACAGAGGCAAACAAGCAAGTGAGGAGTAAAATCAGAGCCGACAAACGAAAACACCTAGAAGATCTAGCAATGACGGCAGAAAAGGTTGTAACAGAAGAAAACATGAAACAGTTATATGATACAACTAAGAAGGTCGTTGGAAACTATCGTAGACCAGTGATAAGCAGGGAAGGAGAAATCGTCAGAAATATTGAAAAGCAGCGAAACAGGTGTGTAGGGCACTTCAAAGAATTACTAAATCAGCTAGCCCCAATGAACCCACCGAGCATCGAAGCAGTTCTCACGGACCTCCCAATCGATGTTAGCCCACCAGCAGTTGAGGAGATGAGTATGGCCATCAGACAGATCAAGAGCGGTAAAGCAGCGAGATCATACAACATTCCAGAAGAGGCAATGAGAGCAGACATGGCGGAAAATGCAAAAATATTCCTCATTCTCTTCAACTAGATTTGGGATGAAGAACAAGTACGAGCAGACTGGAAAGAAGGATACCTGATCAAAATACCGAAGAAAGGCTATCTCAGCAAGTGTGAGAACTACAGGGACATCACACTACCCTCAGAATCAGGTAAACTCTTCAACAGGATGTTGTTAAACAGAATGAAGAACTTCGTTGACGCTCAACTTCAACTTAGCTGTTACTAGTTTCCAGGCCTTCTTAAAAGATCTTGGCTAAGCTCCTCCAATTTTCTTGACAAGTGGTGATCGCAGATAAGGCAGTCAACGTGAGCACTCTTCATTGCTGATAAGAGCATGAACTTCCTTAACGAAAAAGCGACTGGATACGTTAACTCCCTTGATTTTAGCTAATGGAATAATGTGGCACAGTATGAATAGATGCTGGAGTTGAAAATGGCGAAATGAGTGACAAGAACATGTAAAAATTGAACAGTACAAACGAATTATCGAGACTATCTGGCATATGAACATTTTTTTTCACAGTAACTTAAAGCCTCTTGATTTGGGCTACGTGAGTTCAAGCGCACTGCTTAGTTTCAGGGTCACTCGGGCAACTGTTTTATATCTAGTCCAATTTACTTGTAAATTTATACTTATACTATCCTGTCAGTTTGAGTGAATATTTCACTTAGTTGTCAGTTTTTATATCTTACTTTTCAAAACATTTATAAGATTTATTTTCAACTATTCTAATATTTACTTGGAAGGACAGCTTGCAAAATACTTCAAATCGAATTACATTGAACCTGAAGGGTTCGCAGTCGACCATCATCAGACATTGCGCTTGCCCGGCCAATATCTGTCACACCATGTAGTGTCTAATAATTTTTCTCATTTATAAAGGAGTCATTTAGAGTGTAAGTACCATCCATATGCAGTTCTTATTGAAGATTCTCATGCTGGGGATATGGTTTGCTCAATGTGTGGACTGGTTGTTGCTGATAGGTATGTTGTATCACAAACTTTTTCGCATTTGTTTTATACAGAGTAATTGATGTTGGATCTGAATGGCGTACGTTTTCTAATGATGCCAACGCAAAGGATATGTGTCGAGTAGGAGCTAGTGAAAACTTCTTATTAGATGGGGGTGACCTTTCAACTATGATCAGTGGCCCATCACCTTCTGACTCGCGACAACTCGACGAACATGGGAAGCCCATGTATCGGAACCGCCGCAATATATCTGCACCTGATAGAGTACTTCTGAGTGCATTCAGAGAAATTAGTCAAATGGGTGAGCATCTTAATCTTCCCAAAAGCATATCAGTGAGTTTTACTCTTAGTGCCACAAATTTTTCTCACAATATTTTGAATTTATATGTGATATTCATGGAACTGGTGTGTAACATAACTATTCTCCGGGTGAATATGAAGTTTTAGACGTTTGCATTTCAGCCGTCTGTTAAATAGATACGACTTCGTCGGTAATTTCATTTGTATGAATCTCATTTTTGCATGGTGACTGAAACATTGTGGACAGAAATTGCGGATTTTTCGACCGAATTATTCTACCTAAAACTCAGTAAACTATGCCAATTACATTTCATGCAATCCTAACTCTCACAATATTTCTTGTTGTTGATATATAGTGTGTTGGTTAAAATATGCGCTCAATCAACTGTTTTTACTTAAGATAAATTGGCTCATCGTAGATACATAGTACTTGAAATTTATAGTCAGTTTAGCTCTATTTTCTAAAGCCGACAAATTAACAAGCGTTGACAGTGATTTTCTTACAACTCAGTAGTAACTGACTTCATTTGTCTATCAGCAAAAGTTCGTCAGAAAAAAACTAAAACTACTACCTACTCATTTGTTTGGTGAACATCTGGATATTTTATGTAGGTAACAAAACCACTTATCTTGGAAGCTTCGTTACCTTTATTAGGTTGGTGGCTGACAAAATCTCGGTAATGATTCTGAAAGCTCATTTGTAGTTCATACTAAGTGTAATTTAAGAGAGACGTCTATCTTCTAACTATGTACTAACTATCTACTATCTACACTATCTACTACACTACTCTGTTTTACTATGAGACGTTCCCTCTAAAACCGTATATCATTGATTGATTACTAGAATTTGACTAAAGATGTCTTCAAAGTATTGTTTCCGTGTAATGAAACGATTAAAGGAACAATGGTGTAGTTAGTTGTCAGGTATTGGCTAAAGATTGCAGTTCAGATAATGAAGATGTAGACATTTTTCATGTAAAATAGTTAGGAAATGTCTTACGCATAATCAGCCATCACCGTTCATCTCATCTTTTACGATGAGAGTTAGCCGTAATCTCTGACTCGACCAGTAGTGTTCGAGTAGAGAGGCTGAACAAGATCAGTGTGCTTCTTTGGTACATCTCTCAGTGACAAACACTGCCACAAAACCTCACGATCAACAAAGTCAAGCATCTCCTTAAGGTCAAGAAATACTGCTATTGTGGGATGTCGAGATGCGTGTCTGTGTTATAGGACCTGACAGAATTTGAATATTTGCTTCATACAGCCACGTCCGGGTCTGAAATCAACCTGGCTTTCTCTAGTCTGCTTTTCACGAGCCCTAGTTAGGCATCGGAATTTCACTGAAGCCAATAATGTAGATACTATATTAGTTAAATTAATTCCTCTGTGATTGTCACAAGATGACTTTCGTCCCTTCTTACTGACCAGGTCAATCAGTGATTGAGACTAGTCAGATGGAATTACGTTCAGATTCTAGCTAAGATTTTAGTCAAAGCTGGACTATAACCCGTAGAAGTCTCAGGGGTTAATCTATCGGATCATGTTGCTCTCCCTCGCTTTAGATTGCCCATCAATTTTCCAACCTCATAATCAGTTAGAGTACTTACATCAACGTGCGACTCAGGTTGACTGGAGATGGTGAGCAACTGAATTGTATCCGAAGACTAGTTAAATTGCCCTGCAGACCGTTCTGCACATCGGGAGAATTTGCTGGATCGAGAATGAGTAATAGTTCCTTCGTTTTCCGAGATAGTGGTGACTATTACCTATTCTATGGGCTGCGACACCATAAAATCTGATTAGGTGTCTTTCTGTTTCGCTTAATCTATCTACTTGAGCATTAAAATCACCACCCTCTGTTATAACGTCTGAAAGCTGAGCTATTGGGAAGTTAGAAAGCTCTTTTTAAAATTCATCTTTTTCTTCACCTGAGCTGCAATCAATGGGAGTGTAGGTAGAGACAACGAATAGGCAACGGCAAGTGTCCGTGTCGTTCTGATACAAGAGGATTAGAAAATGGTGGAAGAAGTAAGGCTATTATATGTAGATGTATGAAAGGCAAAGTTGGTCAGTGTGTATTTTTGGGAATTTGCTTGATTACTAATCGAGATTAAACTATTGTTTTCATTTTGTAGTGTCGGAAATAAATATTGCAATAGAAAAATATCTAACTAAAGAGTAACAATTTAATGTCAGACATGCTATGATACTTGAAATAGTTACTTGATTTCAACAAAAATTGTAGTTTTCTAAAATCAATCAGCAAGAACTCAGTTTTAAACACAAGCTTTCTCTTATTGTGTAGGAAAAAGTCAGAGTTGCTTTTTGCTTACATGTTGTTTCGTTTTAAAAATATTACAGGATCATGCTAACTTACTGTTCAAACAAGTTCATGAGACTAAAAATCTTCGAGGTCGCAGTAATGATGCTGTCTCAACTGCATGTCTCTACATGGCCTGTCGTCAAGAAGGTGTACCTCGAACTTTCAAAGGTAACAATATAATCAGTTTTTCAAGTTAGATATTTATTTTATGCTAAAAGACATAATTTCACATTGTTCGACCGATAACGTGAAATGCTTTCATCCAGTACATTTATCTTACTGGTTATGTACTATGTTAAGTGCATATTTCAATGAGAAGTTCGCTAAACTACACGTACACTAATAAACAGATGAAAAGTATCAGTTATCTATCATATGACCTATTGATACGTAAACTACTTTGACTTTACTGTTCAACTGTAATGTAGTAGTTAATTCTAATATTTATATTTATATAGTAAAGTTTATTTAAGGTTTTCAAAGGTCAACCAATACATATAAAACTATAAATTCAAATATAAACACCTATTTATACTGTTGAAATATCGAACATATCAACCTTGTATTATGTATCTACGAATACTTTTGGATGCTATTTGTTCTCCTCTATAGGGATTTCCTCTACTATGATCAATATAAATTATATGTTGCAAAGCTAAAACTGCTCATGTGTTTTTCTTTTTAGTTTTGTTAACAATTATCGATAAACATGAAACAGTTTAAGATACGTTATCGATTGCCACCAATCAGTCAGTCAGTCAGTCAACAACAACATAGAACTTCATACGTACGTACATCAGTTCAAGTTATCATACCACATTAGCACAGAGATGTAATTGTCGATTCAAATCCCATAGTAGTAGAAGTATTAGCAGTAATCAGAGAGATTAGGGTTCGAAGATATTATTCAAGAAGTAGAATGTAGTGAAATAAAATTAAAGATAAAGGTGATGAGGAACTCCGAAGGTTAGGATTTGACAGAAAACAAGGAATGAATGCATCTGAGCCATTGCAAACAGTTTTGAGCCATATCATTCAGGGTCTCTAAGCATTGATTACTGTCATCTCGCTGGCCCCAACTAGGTAGTCGACACCTAACAACATGACTCAGTCCAGGTGTCAGTTACTTCATGGATTTGTGCTACCAATCATCCCAAAGTTCTTCAAGATCGTTGGCAAGGGTGCAAGTACATTCACTCTTTGTCTTCCCTTAGATCCTAAGTACCCTAATTATCTTTAAAAAGATTTACTTTATTCCTTTAGTTCATATCGGCCTAAATTACACCTTTCATTCCTCATCTTTTCTGCTACCATTAATGCTGTTACTGCCCATACTTCTCTGGCATCTTACAGTGCTTCTGCGGTGTAGTAGCTTGAACCGATGCACATAGGTACATGTGATGTATGACTGAGTGATTACCAGTTTTTTTTGAAATTGTTACGCCTGCACGTAAACACGTCAACTTGATATACTTGAACTGTTACGAGTTTACCTAGTCGACACGACATGCTACTAAAATCCGATTATCCCAACCCCCCGTATTGAATAAAAATAAGAAGACATGATATGAAGTAGAACGTGTATTCTACAAGCATCCAGAAAGTACGAGGTCCGAACCGAGAAGAGAATCAGGATCCCGGACTAGGGATCCGGGACCGAGTCCTGGACGTGGTCCTGGTTTTAGTCATAAAACGTTACACATAATGCATATTTATACATTTCGGTCGAATAGGAAACAGCATCGAAGTCTGTGATATTGACAGTTAAGACAACCAATAGGAAGCAAAATTTGAAATGACATTGACAGTCAGGACAACCGATAAGAAACAACATTGGAGCACGTGACAATATCTAGGTCGATCATAATATTGACCAGTAGGAATTAACCAATAGGAATAGACCAATAATTCTCTTAGGATATTGGATGAATATCCTAACAGAAATAAAAATTGTAATATATTTTCTAATATTCTGATAAGTGTGAAATCGGATCTCTGAAATCTTGCGACTTGGTGTTAATAATTACTTCTTCAGAGAATAAAAAGCTTCTTCAACACAACATAAATTCACTTAGTATGAAAAACAAGTCAGGTCAAATATCTATTGCATACAATGATACCTATACCATGATAATGTGTCATTCAGGTTAAGAATAATTCTTTGTGAAACATTTGTTTGTTTGTGTATGTGTTGTGAATGAAAGTGAAAAAAAAACTGTCATATTAAATGAATTAGTTTTCTTATTGGGAGAATGTATTTTCAACTTCCCGAATGCGAGTACCACTGAATTGTGCACCCTTTTAGTCACAGATGAAGTAAATTCTTCAACAAGAAAAAAAAATGAGAGTTTGTAGATATACTTTTAACGATACTCAGTAGCTAAGGACGGCCAAACACAAAACATGTCACAAATCCATGAAGTCACTGACAACTTGATTGAGTCATGTCGTTAGGTATCGACTACCTGGTTGGAGTCCGCAAGATGATAGTAACCGATGGTTAGAGACCTTGAATGACATGGCTCAAAATCGCTTGCAATGGCGCAGGTGTGCATCCATCCCTCGTTTTCTCTCAAATCCTAACCTTCTGAATTCCTCATCACTTTATCTTTTTCATTTCAAATCTATTTGACTAGATTCTACTTCTTGAATAATATGCTCGAACCCTAATCTCTCTTACTACTATGGGATTTGAATCGACAATTCTGTCTGTGTGCTAATGTGGTATGATAACCTGAACTGATGTATATATGTACGTACGAAGTTCTACGTTGTAATTGACTGACTATACTCAATAACGAATAACTTTTACTACATTTTGTTCAGTGCTAAAACAATCTTTAGAAATCTAAGTAAGAAAATGAAACAATACACAGTACAGTAAGTATTTATCCCTCTGATGTATCAGATTTTGCATACTTTTACTCATTATATCACAAAGATATACTCAATAACGATGTTTAACCTTAAACACTTTTAACTTTATCTGATAAACCATTTGTTTCATAATTATTCATCATCAAAAATGTCCGATCATTGTTGTCTCCGAAAAATACATTAGTATTACCGAGATTCATTAATGTATAATCGGGTTCGATGATAATAATCCAGTCGTTGCAACCATCTCGAAATACTAACTCCGCTGATTTGATCATGTTTTATAAATAAACAGTAATCATACAACTCACTTACATGAGATTGCATTACATATAAATTAAATTCAAAATCAGATGTATTTTCATCAACTGAGAAATGCATTTCTTAGTTGAATTTTTAACTAAACTTTATCTATTACGTAATACTATCAGTATTTATTTATTCTGTCGATTCCATTCAGTCAGTCAGATGCAACGTAGAACTTCGTACGTAAGTACATCAGTTCATGTCCCCATACCACATCAGCACAGACAAGTAATTGTCAATTCAAATCCAATAGTATTAGAGGTAGTAAAGGTATTAGAAGTAATCGGAGAGGTTAGGATTAGAAGACACTATTCAAGAAGTATGATTAAATGAGAAAAGTTTAGAAAGTCAAAACTAGAGGTGTTGAAGAATCCAGAAGATTAGGATTTGAGAGAACACAAAGAATAAATGCACCGGCGCCATTGCGAACGATTCTGAGCCATGTCATTCAAGGTCTCTAACCATCGATGATTATCATCTCGCGAACCCCAACCCGGTAGTCGACAATTACCGACATGGCTCAGTCCACTAGTCAATGACTTCATGGATTTCTGCCATGTTTTGGTTTGGCCGCCCCTAGCTTTCTTCCAACCTACTCCTACACTACAAAATAAAGCTCTTCGAGGCAGTCGGTGGTTAGGCATACGTAACACATGTCCCAACCACCTCAACTGATGAAGTTTCACCACTTCATCTATTGGTCTGCCATCCTTACCTAGTACTCGTTTCCTAACGACAGCATTGCTCACTCGGTTGTCCCACGGTATACGAGCAATGCTTCGAAGACACCTATGATCGAAAACCAGTAACCTACGAATATCTTCTACTCTCACTGGCCATGTTTCACAGCCATATAGGAGAACGGAGCGAACCACTGCACAGTACACTCATCCTTTGATTAGAGAACGGATATCACGCCTACGCCATAAGTGACGCAGGTTGGCAAGTCGATTCCATTAGCCTTCTCTCTTCTTTTTTTTTTATTGTTGCTCTTTAGTGCCCTATTATACTAGAATTTATGTGCTGTAAATAAATAATACATAGATTTCTAATACACCTGTTATGCATAAATACTGATAAACAGACATCATTGTCATCCTACTATAAAAAGTATATTTAATTAAATACTTACGTTTTTCAAAATAGAAGTTTGAATAAACCAGTTGATTAAAAAAAATTCAGACTAATTAGTTGTGTCTACTACTAGACACCCCTAGACACAAGAGATTAGTAGTTATTTCAGCTTTCTATTTATAAGTAAGTATTATTTTAATTTTAAAATCGAAGTTTCACTAATATTTGAACTTTAATTTATTATTATTATTATTATTATTATTATTATTATTATTATTATTATTAGTTCATCAATAAAAAAAACATGGCACAAGTCCACTGAAATCTAAACTGAACCATGTTAGAGTAGATGTAGACTAACCAATCTGGTTAGGAGGGTCCGCCAGATGATAGTAATCGATGATTAGAAACCTTAAACGACATGTCTCGAAATCATTTGAAAATAACGCAGGTGCATCTATTGTTTCTGTTCTAGCAAATTCTAATCTCTTTTTTTCAAGAAAATCGATTTCACTGGGATATACCACTCGAATGATATCTTCGATCATTAATCATTTTTGATTACCGCTAGTAACTTCTACTACTATAGGATTCGAATTGACAATTCAATCCATGTATGCTAATGTTGTGTAGTATGATGACTTACGTACGTACGTAGTTCGACGTTCGTTATCTGATTTACTGACTCATCATCATCATCATCAATAAACATTATTCATAAATAATACTATTTTTGTTTTAATACTTTTAGAAGTATGCGCTGTGTCACGTGTTTCAAAAAAAGAAATTGGCAAAGTTTTTAAAAAGATTTTAAAAATATTAGAAACAAATGTACAATCAGTTACAGTGGAAGATTTCATGTCTCGATTCTGTGGTAATCTTAATTTGAATATTGCTGTCCAACGAGTTGCAAATGTTGTTGCAAGACGAGCTCTTAATTTGAATTTGGTTGCTGGTCGTAGTCCAGTTTCTGTAGCTGCAGCAGCTATTTATATGGCAGCCTATGCATTAGGTTATCGTAAAGAAAAACGAGGTAACTTTCTATTGTTGTTTTGTATACTTATTGGTTATATAATGAGTTTTACAAGAATTATCAGTGGTTTATAGTTTTTGCTTTTGAAAAAGGAAGTTAATATTTTCAATTAGAGTGGTCCAGAGGTTATTAGGCGTTCACGCACAATACCGAAGGTCCCGGGTTCGAATCCTGCGAGATGCAGGAGTCATGGATGTGCACTGCCACTACTGATGAGTAGTCCCATACCAGTGCAAAACGGCCGTCTTTCAGTGCTTCCGGGCTCGATATGATCCCTTAGACTTCGTATACTGCTAGTCCCTGATAATCGTTACTAGATTAACAGGCCCAACAGTGTATACAATTCAGAAGACAAATGTTGAAGTGTTGATTAGGTTTATTTTATCGCACCACACATAGATCTCGAAAAAAAACCCACAAGCATACGAAGAGAATGCGAAACGATATGCGAATCCCAAAGAGCAGGCGAGCGAATAGGATTAAAATGTACATATGTATACATAGGAAAGTGAATAAGTCATAGAATTATTTAAGCGATTAACATTACTAAAACAAGTAGAATGAATATATGCGTAGGCGGTGGTGAGCTATGCTCATTCTTACCTGCTCATACAAACTTACTTACCTGTTACCCCCAATGGAGCATAGTCGGCCCACCAGTTTTCTCCTGCCAACTCTGTCCTGGGCTTCCCTTTTCAGTTCTGTCCAATTTTTGTTCATTCTTCTCATGTCTTTCTCTATTTCTCGGCGTAATGTGTTTTCATTGGCCTTCATCTTTTCCTTTCACCATGAGGGTTCCATATAAGGGCTTGTCTCGTGACGCAGTTAGGTGCTTTCCCCAATGTGTGTCCTATCCACGTCCAAAACTTCTTCCCGATTTCTTTGTCTACTGGAATCTGGTTTGTTCCCTCCCGCAGTAGGCTGTTACTGATGGTTTCCGGCCAACGAATCCGAAGTATTTTGTGAAGACAACTGTTAATAAACACTTGTATCTTCTGGATGATGGCTTTCGTATTTCTCCAAGTTTCCGCTCCATACAATAGAACTGTCTTGACATTTGTATTGAAAATCCTGATTTTGGCTGAAAGTTGTTTGGAGTTCCAGATATTTTTTAACTGTAGAAATGCAGCCCTTGCTTTGCCAATCCGCGCCCTCACATCTGCATCGGATCCACCTTTCTCGTTGATGATGCTGCCCAGATATGTAAAGGTGTTAACGTCCTCCAAGGCATTTCCATCAAGAGTGATTTGGTTGGTGCATGTTGTGTTGCATCGGAGAATTTTGCTTTTCCCTTTATGTATGTTGAGACCTACTGCTGCAGAGGCTGCTGTTACACTGGTCGTCTTCTCTTGCATTTGTTGTTGCGTGTGAGATAGAAGAGCCAAGTCATCTGTGAAGTCCAGATCGTCCAGCTGCGTCCTAGCTGTCCACTGAATACCGTGCTCCCCTCCAGATGCTGACGTCTTTGCTCATACAAACGCGGCAATAATAAAAGCACATTGGTACAGATAAGTTATTACTATACGAATTACTCAGTTAAATGTGTTAAGCAAAAGGGCTTGACCGAATTAAACGAGAACAAACTTAAATGTATGTGAGGCACTATAATTAGATTTACATCAAAAGGACTACAAATTGGTTAGTATTGCTACAAATGAAATTATTATAGTGTGTTAGTCATTTCAATAAAGAAAGCAAATATAATTCTCAAGTTAAAATAATAGTTGGGTGTTGACTATTGCTATCTCTATTGAGAGTAAGAGTCTGTCAGAGCAAAGAGTAAGAATTTAAATTTAAATTCCTCAATCATATATCATTTATACTACTCCATCATATTGTCTAACAGTGTCTCACATTGGCCACATAGCAGGCCCGTTTTCTTGCCTGGTTGGAACAGTTAGTCAAACTTGCGCATACTATAATTATCACTCAGACATTGTGTGAACTTCTGGCTTGTTTTCGCATCGATTACTACTTTTCACCTCTGATCGTTTCCGTTGATGATACATCGCTGAGGGTGGCTAATGCACCAATTATAGGCAAAGGATATATTCACCTTTGAGCCACACTTACTCTATGAAGACTGGTGGTAACAACTCGGAAGCTTAAACTGAGATAGGGTTCCACAGGATCCAAACCTAATGTTTGTAAAATGATTAGATTAACAGCTAAACAAACGTTCCATCTAATACAAATCCTAACATAGGTTTTACTCAAGATTCCCCCGCCCCATTCATATGATAAATTCTAGCTAAATAAAATCCAACTTATTTTAAAACATCCTGTGTTTCAATATCTACTTCGAGTGGTTACAGTTCAACTTGAATCGAAAAAAATTTCCTTATCCGATAGCATTCCCACAGTAGTATGTAAATTATCATGACGAAATTATATTCATATAATCAACTTCCTGTTTGATAACTACTCATTAAGTGAGTTTGTTTAATAAAATTGTGTTTTAATCACTGATAAAACATTGAAAATTGATATAGTATAAACTATATTTAAGACTTTATTGCTATTTTTCATTGTAAATCCAAGGTCATTAAAAATCAGATATTAGACTAGATATACGATATAAAAAAAAAAGTTCTGATTTGTAAACGAATAAGTAAGTATTCAATAAAAATCTAGTGCTTGAAATATCTTGACTACTAGTCTAATTTTTTTGGGCTTTTTGGTAAACATTGAACAAGATAAAATTAGCTTTGGAAAAGCAGTAAAAAAAGAGGGCACAAATATTAAAAATTTTTTTTACATGTTTTCTGAGTTTTACCTCCAGGCTTTAGCAGATTACCACCTGGTTGAGGTCAACGAGACGTTAGTAGCTGATGGCTGGAGACCCTAAATGACATGGCTAAAAATCGCTTGCAATGGTGCAGGTGCATCCACTTTTTATGTTCTCTCAATACTTAATCTTCTGAATTCCTCATCACCTTTATCTTTATCGTTCTAAGGTTTTGTCACTGAATTATTTTTCTTGAATAATATTTTCGAACCCTGCTCTTTTGTATAACCACTATAGGATTTGAACTGACAATTGTGTCTTTGTGCTAATGTGATATGGCAACTTGAACTGATATACTTACGTAGGAAGTTCTACATTATAACTGACTTTAGCATAGATAAAAATTCTTGAAGCATTTGTACCGATGTCTCTTATCACATCCGATTATCATCATTTATGTGTTAACAATGTGAGGATTTAATTTTCTTTTATAGAAATTGGTGATGTGGCCGGATGCGCTGAAGCTACAATCACATGTACTTATCGTGCAATGCATTCAAGAGCTAATGAATTATTTCCTGAAGATGTTAGACTTGCTATTAGACCAGATGAATTACCATTGTGATTTTTTCTTTTTTAAGAATAAAAATTGATCAATTTGTGTACAAAATAACGTAAATAATACACAGAATATTTCAAGTCAGTCACTTGTTCGTACTTAGCAGATGAAATGTTATTATTTCTCTTAGGTATTTGTTTCGACTGAACAAGGTTCTTGTGTGTGTGTGTGTGTGTCATGTTTGAAAGTTGTGTTTAATCAGTTTTTGGAGACTACTGTGTATAAATTCAGGTCACAATCCAATAATAGAATAATATGATGCAAACTTGTTCATCATTTGTTTAATACATTTTCTGTAAAATATTACCTCTTCATTGTTGACCTAATAAAGACATATAGTAATGTATAAGATGGACTGCGAATTTTTATGAACAAAGTCCCGGCGCAGTGTTCTGTTCAGTGAATAAGTTTAGCTACCATCCCACAACAAACGAAAGATTAAATTCGGATCGTGTCATCTGGATGATGTGAAATATATTCTCCATACTGTTCAGTTCAAATATCCCGACCGTAGATGCCACCTTTACGTGGTAGACGGGCGTACCTCTCATGGTGACCCAACAGAGCTGGATTAGATGGCTTACATTTTCATTAGAGTCTTACTATGTCAGGCAGGTCGATTGGAGAAGTAGCAACTTAAGGTCTGAAAGCGAAGTTGGACTATAGAAAACTGTGACAGCAGTAAAGCGTTTCTCCCTCTTCTCACACGGAAAAACGAAGAAAAAGCCGACTTTAAACATGTCACACCTCACGGAAATCCACCTCTGGTGGCAAGGTAGTTTGAAGATCGAAGCTGACGCCTTAAGAACTCGCCGTATAATCCCATGCGCTACCGGCCTCAAGTAGCCATCCCTTGGGCCCTGCGGTAACGCCCCCAGGTCGTTAAGACCAATGCTAATCCAGTTTTCTTTGCAGGTTCGTCAAGAAACACTCATGGCGTGGCCAGCAGGGTAGTGACATCTGCCCTCAAATTCTCCTTCCACCTCTTTCTAGCTCTCTTGTCTCCACGACTAACCCTTATTATATATGTTTGTCACCACGCCCCTAATGCTAAACATTTGAATACGCGAAATGTTATTCCTGATCTCCTGAAACCCTGCGCTAAACCGCATGTGGCAGCCTTTAATGCTCATCTGTACGACGAATTAAATCCTACAAAGTTTCGACCAACACTCACCAGAAATTCATACATTGAGTACTTTTAAATGTCCACGGCGAATCGTAAAACTGAACAGATTCCTGAATTGTCTCCCCACTACTAGGAAACTCAGTGAAGAAATAGCTTCCGAACGGATCCCTTGTTAGAGTTAGAATTAGCTAAATCGCGTCTGGCTCAGACAGAGAAATTGAGTTAGAACGGTTATGTCAAAGGGGAATAGAATATTGTAATCAAGTTGTGGATGACAAGACTATGTCGTACAAGTCTAAATCTACCTGAAATACATGTGATATTAATCCTGGAAAGGACTGGGTAAGAATGATATCTAAAGCTTTAGACCTACCCAAAAGAGAGATCATAAGGTTTGATGATAATCCCATGAACTATTGGAGTTTCATACGGAATTTCGAAGACTATTTTGATGAAAGCGTTGGATCTCGATGTAAGTTAAACTATTTGATTCAGCATTATGATGGTGAGGTCAAGGCTACCATTGTTCATCGCCTGAACCAGTACAAGGATATCGTAATGAAATCCTACAGCTAGGAATACAATCTCACGCCATCGATGGACGCTGCGTCTCATAAACGCACCTACAGGATTCCAGTACAGCCATTTGTTTTACCTCAACTTTTAACGATAAATAACCGTTCCCATTTACGTTTCGTGTATCTGGAAGCCCCACTGCTGCCTCTCGTAACCTAGCTGATATACGCGCTGCAATTAGTTCTAAGGCAGAACCAGCTCTCTTACACTGGGTTCCAATGGACAGTCACTAGTGTGAGGTACAACTTAATGGGGCAGTAGGAGCTGAGAGAGATAGGGGTACTCGCCATTGCTTATTCGTTGTCTCTACCTACACTCCCACTGGTTGTAGCCGAGGTGAGAAAAAAGATGGATTTTAAAGAGAGCTTTCTAACTTCCCAATAGCTCAGCTTTCAGACGTTATAACAGAGGGTGGTGATTTTCTGACCACCTTAAGCAACAATGCAAACATGTTCGGGATGCGATTTTCCTCCCCCCCCCCATCGAAACAAAATGTTGCTTTATGACTGGGTTATTTTTTCGGGGAACCTTAATGTAGTGATAAGGAGAAAAGAAATGAGTAGTCAACTATTTCATCTACAATAACTAACCGGGCTTAGTCAAACGGACAGCACCATACACTGTGACATAATCCGGGTTGCTAAAACATCAATATTTTCCCTACATACTGATTTTGAAATTGACCATAAACAAAAAAATATCTTACTTCACAATAATAATAATAATAATAATAATAATAATAATAATAATAATAATAAACAAGATGAAATATTCATCTTTTTGCAAAAAAAGGTATTATTCATCAGAAACTTCAAATAAGCTTAAACAATAAAACAGAACAACCAATTTACTATTATTATTATTCAAGAAATAAGTGTATTTTATTATTTAATGAAACATATGAAAACCAACAAAAAAAGAATGAAAACCTCGTCAACAAATAATAATAATAATAATAACAATAATAGCATTTCTCATGTTGAATGTGTAAAACAAAAAAATAGCGGAGCATTTAAAAATGAATAACAGATAATCGTCTTCATAGTAAACTGTTTCTTTTCATTCAACTGTTTCGAAAAAATGGTGCTAATCTGCTTGTTCACTCACTTCTTACACACACACACACACACACACTTGAAAAAAGAAAAGGACAATGGTGATATCAACACAGATTGAATTGGTGCAATAGTCATCAAGTTTGTGAAACATTATTCACACACACATACGCATACACACATACATACTCCAACACACACACACAAGGAAGTGGAAATTTTTTGTTAAATACAAGCACAATTCAAACGTTGAATAATATAATTCAGGTCTAGTTTCTTTACTTTTTATCATTCATTCATTCATTCATTTACTTACTTACTTACTTACTATCAAACGTATTTCAGAGAAAAGGCACTTTCTTGAAACGTTACACATTCGAACAAAACCAATGGAAAAGCAACGAACGAACAAAGGAAGGAAGGTAGGAAGGAGAAAGAAATGCTTAAAATAGGGATATCTATATGGAAATATATATTTCTTCTATTTATTTATATAATTATAACACTCTTTTAAAACACACAAACATCTTTTGTCTGGACTAAAATTCGTCAACTCCCCTCTCTCAACATATAACGCACGCACATATGAGATGCCCATAGAATGCTGTCGAACACAAGGATAATTCGTTGAATATCATTGAACAACCCATAACTTCCATTTCAAATTGTCCCATTTTTTTTTATTGTTTGAAATAGAGATAATCCGTGTGGTTGAATCTCTTAATGACAACAAGATATGCTGATGCTACTGCTGCGGCTGCTGCTGATGATGATCAGTTGGCACATCGTTTTTGACTGTGAAAAAAATCAATGAATGAAATCATTGACAACAATGCACAATAAATTAAATTTCACTATTAATGAAAGTAATTTCTACACCACAGTGAGAAAAATCTGAATACGTGACCAACAATTTTCGCGTGAGTCATCATCGAGTTAACCCTTCTAACCAATAATATGTAACAGAATAGAGTTGACCTGTGACTAAAATGAAATGAACTCATGCTCATCTATCTGGTCATAAATTCTTGTTTATTCAAAATTTTCGGCTAGAGTACAACTAAACATTGTATTATTTAACATCTTTGCTAAGTGCACCAGTATAGTAGAATGAATGCCTCAAGTTTACAAAAAACAGCGATTAATGCGTCACGATTTTGAGGTAGAGAAGCTTTTTTAATCAATAACCATCATATCTCTATAGCCTTTTCTTTCGATGCGGGATGGTATGACTACTTTTTTTAATGTATTCGTCTCGTCGACGCAACTAGCGGCCAAGAAAAACAGAAGGAAATTTTTTCAGTTCACATTAGCAGCGAAGAAGATATGACATAGTTTTGTTTATCTTTTACAAAAATTTCGAACCGCGATCAGTCAGTCAGTTGATATAATGTAGAACTTTGTACGTACGTACGTACGTACATCAGTTCAGGCTGTCATTCCAGCATCAGGACACAAACACAACTATCAGTTCAAATCCACAATAGTGGTAGCGCGATAGTAGAAGTATTAGCAGTAATCGGAGAAAAGATTAGAGTTCGAAGATATAATTCCAGATGAAAGCACGTTCGTAACTAAGGTTGATTCGTACAGGTAGAATCTGACAATAGATAAACTAACTAATTTACTAACCATCCTGTATATCTATCTATCTATCTATTAATCTATGCATACTAATTCAGATTTACACTTATAAAACACACCCATCATTGGATATGAATTACAACTAAGAAATTTCTAATTGATATTGATATTTTTCAAAATGAAATAACAGTCACAGTATGTAAATTTTCACAAATTCATATAAGAAATTTGCAATGGAAAACTTATTCACACGAACTAACTAACTAACAAATATCTATCAGTAACAACACTTTGTAGACAAATATTTTAAACAGATACATTAACTGAATGACTGATTCATTTAGAACATAAAATTTAAAAGTTGAAACTGTTACTAATTATTATGACATACTTCTTCCACACAAAAAAAACAATTCAAGAACGAAAGATTAGTGATGTATGATGAAACGTTAAATTAATTACCTATGTGTTCCAAAAACTGCATCAGCATCTGGTGCCCCTTTTGGATGGTTATACTTTACCCAACGATCACGATTCACATTGATAGGGAATTGATGAGCTAAAACAGCATCCGGACCGCCGTAATGACCTAGAAATGTATTTTTTTTTTAAAAAAAACAACCAAAACACATTTTTGTGAACTCGTGCCAATCACGCAATAGAGAACTCATAAATTTTCACATTTAAATAACCAAACTATCATACAACAGAATAACCTACAGACAGACGGGTCACCATACAACGTCAGCGCACAGAGACGTAACTGTCAGTTCAAATCCAAGAGTGGTAACGATAGGATTCGAAAGTGTCATTTAGTGAGATAAATTTGTAAAGAGAAAGATAGAGATTATGAGGAATTCAGAAGCACATAATTAAAAAGCACACAAAGAGTGAATGAACCTGCGCCATTGCAAACGATTCTGAGCCATGTCGTTCAAGGTCTCTAACTATTGGTGACTTTCGTCTCGCGGACCCCAACCAGGTAGTCTACATCTACCAACATGACTCAGTCCACTTGTCAGTGATTTCATGGATTTGTGACATGTTTTGGTCTGGCCGCCCCTAGCTTTCTTCCAACCTACCCCTACACCACAAAACATAGCTCGTCAAGGCAGTCGGTGGTTACGCATACGCAACACATTTCCCAACCACCTCACCTGATGAACTTTCAATGCTTCATCTATTGAATAACCAACGAAAAGTATTGTAATAATAGAGTTATCAATTACAGATTTGAATTTTTTTTAAAAAAAAAGAGCCATTATCAACTAAGTGTTGACTAACCCCATTCCATTTCTTCTTCTTTCTGCGCTTCATGCATTTCAAGCACCAGTTGTTTCATTCGAGCTTTTTCTTCTCTCTCCGCAGCTGCAGCTTGAATATAACGTGCTGCAAATTGTACTGAATCAGGGACTGCCAACGGAATTAGATACGGTTTATTACCACGACGTGAAACTAATGTAAATGGTACAGTATTCTAAGATAATAACAAACAAAAAAAAACGTCAATAAGCGTGATTTTCCGCAGCGAAATCACAACATATATAAGAAGATTAAGTATAAAAAGAAATACAAGATATCAGTGCTGAAATACATACAGTACTCAAGTATCTTTAAAGTATGACATCATTGCCCGTCGGGTGAAAGTGTATTCAGGCAGTAAATCAGTATTTAGCATCAAGATTTCAACGCATTTAGCTTTATAACATTCAAGATGAACTGTGATGTACAACTCTATTTCACTGAATTATACTTCTCGAATAATATCTTCTCCGTTACCACTAATAGTTCTACAATCTTTATCTCTATGGGATTTGAACTGACATTTGCATCTCTGTACTGATGGGGATATGGAAACCTGAACTTATGTACGAAGTTCTACGTTATAACTGACTGACTGTTAGCAGTATTTACATCATCGCCTTTAATTAAAAAACGAAATGTTAGTTTTCAGATATTTTATTTCAACTATGGTTAGAGAAACATTTTAAATTTAAAGTAATTTTCGTACCATATAATAGACCCAACTTATACGGTCCTACAGATAGTTTAGTGTTGAAACCAACGAAAACACAGAGCTCGTGTCCAACAGTTTCCCGATGGATCACAATAACAACACTACACTAAGATCAGATTTCTCCTGGTGTGGCCGCAGCGTAAAGATGACACGCAAAAATCGTGAAGCGTTCAATATATTTTTTTCCTTCCACAATATGAGCAGCCGGTTAGTGACATCCGCCCACATACTCGTAACAGCACACGAGACCAGACTAATCAGAATCAAATCCATAGAAAACTTTGAGTAAATAATACTTTAAAATAATAAGCAACAACAAGAAGTTTCATTCATAAATGAATTGAATGCAAACACACACACACACTCCATACCTGATTATCTTCATCATTCATAGCTGATATATGAGAATTGTTCATTTTCAAATTGTCTTCATTCGAATTGGTTGGTGGCATCGAATGAATCGGGATCGAACCATTATGATTCACGATTTGTTGACCAATTTTATTTGTTGTTGTTGCTAATGATGAACCACCACTATCTTTGATGGCTAAACGATTTTTTGCTGCTGCCAGCTGTAGTATATCTGGAGCAGGAAGAACATTTACACTGGGAATACGAGATGATGTAGAATTTGTATCGATATTATTAATATTGTTAACGCTAGTTACATTGACAACAACTGTACCACTACTACTAACACTACTACTACCAACACCACTATTCCCTGATGTAGAAGATGATAATAAAGCTTCAGCAATCATTTTATCTAAAGCTTCACAGAATTCAGCATCTTCAGGACATGCGATAAATCGTGGCTTCAATGCATAGTCCGGATCAGTCTCGTCCTCTTCTTCTTCATCTGGTTCTTTTTCTTCTGATTTCTCCTTTAGAACAACACAATTAATTTAAAAAGATAATTTAGTGATAAGTTTTTTTTTCTTAAAAAGAAAAGATTTATAAAAAGTCAACAGACAAAATTCATTAACATATAATCTTTAATTACAACTAATTAGAAGAAAATGAATATCGATCAGATTGAAATTCTGTTATACAAGTAACACTGTTTATGGAATACTACTACTACTACTACTACTACTACTTTAATACATTTTTTTACGATGATCTGTGTGTGAATGGACAAAAAAATATGAAGTTTAATATTATTACAATCAGATTTTGATTGATAAAAAGCTGGAAAAACTCAATGTATTTTGATTGATTGATTGACTGACTGATTATACTCGCTGATTATGAAAAAGCTTCATCTATGAAAACAGGTGCTTTTACTCTTCTAGTTAGTGGGGGGCAGGAAAAATTAGTGGTCCCGTGTTTACAGTAGTATCAGTCAGTCGGTCAACAACAACAGCATAGAACTTCGTACATGAGTACATTAGTTCAAGTTTTCAAATCCCATAGTAATAGAGGTAGTAGAAGTATTAGCAGTAATCGGAGGTTAGAATTAGAAGATATTATTCAAGAAGTAGAATCTAGTGAAATAAACTTTAAAAAAAATGACAAACGTGATGAGGAAGTCTGAGGGTTAGGATTTGAGAGAACACAAAGAATGAATGCACCTGAGCCATGTCATTCAAAATCTCTAACTATCGAATACTATCATCTCGCGGGCCCCAACCAGGTAGTCGACACTTATCAACATGACACAATCAAGTTGTCAAGTGACTTCATGGACTTGTGACATGTTTTGGTTTGGCCACCACATAGCTTTCTTCCAACTTATTCTTACATCGCAAAATGTAGCTCTATGAGGCAGCCGGTGGTTGGGAATAGAATGTATCAATACTATTACTTGCAGAACCACAGTTTTAAACAATGAATTACATCAATCTTATGCACTTACTATGCCATTGACTAGTGTATGATCAATATCCTCTTGAGATTGCTGGCTATCGACGCGGGAACGACGACGACTACCATCTGAATTCACTAAGTCAGTAGATTGACCGCGATGAGGTGAACGATTTCCACCACCTCGTTCTTCATCACCTTCGTCTTCTTCTTCATCCTCGTCAGAATCATCTTCATCCATAGCATACTCATCGTCATCCAGCTGAATATCTCCTAAGAAAGTTTAAGCAGAATAACAAAAAATCATTCTTTCATTAGGTAAATAATTCGGACATTTTTAGTTATTCATGTGTTCAATTAGGAAAAAAACTACACAGATATAGATTTTCTTTCAAAGTCTTGTAATGGAACTTATGCAATTACTGTAAGTGTAAAAAAAGCTTACCATCTTCTTGTTCGGCCTCTTCAGCTATTGTATCCATTTGACCAGGACCAGTTCGTCGAAGTGATTTATTTTCCGAGACTATCTTCTGATCTTGACTACCATTTTCCATGTTTTCTGATTCACTTGTCAATCCATATGTAGCCTTAAGGCGTGCAAGTCGAGGCATACAACGTGCTTCTAAATGACTGACAAGACGCTGTGCCTGAGCGAAATTTTTCGCTCGACCAACATTACTACGGAACTGTTGTAAAGTCTCAAAATACTGTTGCTCTACTGCAACAGGAAAACGCATAGGAACAAAAATAGGCAAATGAGTTTGAATGTCAGAATTAGTAGCGGAACTATCAGCTGATGATTCAAAATTAGTGGGTGTCGGTGTTGATGAATCTTCAGAATGACTTCCAACAGGTTCTTCAGCAGAAGACGTCACTTCACCATTATGCAGATCGGTTTTTGATTCATCCACTGGTTTGGTTGATAATGAATCAGTGTCGTTTTTTGACTGCACCCATATAGGAAGAGAACGTTTGAACCAGTAGTAACGCTAGGATAACAAAAATTGAGAGAAAAAATATTGTACATGCACACTAAATATGCTGGATAATCAAAATATTTCTAAGAGGATGAAAAATTCACTCACTAACTGACATATAAGGTACAACTATATACATAAAACAAGGACAGTGATTTTAGTAGGATCCTATTTGCCCACTCACAGCTACTAATCGCTTTCCAGTTGAATAACACAATAAAAGAGTAGTTGTAGCTTTTTGCTCAACTATTAACGTCTAAAAGATATATAAATTACTAAGGAACCAATTTTCATAACGACCAATCGTATCAATCCGGGTAACAATGGCGAAATAACAAATTGAACTGATCTTATTTGAACCATCAATAACAGTACTGAAAAGATTCACTAATAAATAACCAATGAATTTTTAACAGGCAAATTTGATGAATGAAAAAAAATACATATCTTTGAGATACAAACCTTATCTTAAAAAAATTTTCTGATTGATTGATTGATTTGACGACCTTAACGTATAATTTCCGTAAAAATCATGCTGCGCAGTTTTAAATGTATGTTCTGGTTTCATCGATGTTCAGTGTATTATATATATATATATATATATATATATATATATATATAAAACTATAAAACTAAGTTTGGAATTCGTAAACAAACATGAATCTACGCAGATAGTCCAAACTTTATTGGTAGTTAGCTAGTCATGTTATATAATCTATGTTACGAGGTTGTGCTAAATAGTACACACTGAGGCTACTGACTGGTCTTGAGAATATATTATTATTTCTGTACAAAATGACCATGATGGCTTTTATTTATTTAGTTAATTAGCGATAAAATTATTGATACAAAGTAACATATGCGCCGTACAATGATAAAATAAAATTCTGATGAGAGATAAAGGAAGGTGGGTTATAATTACGAAAAAAACAATACGTGAATAAAAAGATATAAATGAGAGGGAAGATAATAGGGGAAGCAGACTAATTCACTAGGAAAGTTTCACTCAGTTTTATACAGAAAGTATAAGAAAACTGCTAGCTTCCATTTTAAGCTATATGATCACGTCTAAAGTTACTGTTGTGCTATCTCTAGCACACTAAACCGTAAAGCCTTGACCTAGTCGACAGATTTTAATCCTGTACTTTTGCATATAACGACACTACACAATAAACTGACTGTAGCTCCGCCTTTTCCAACAGGTCCAAACGTCGGCAAACAATGCACGGTGTGGAGTTCACTGGGACAATATTCGAAGCGCATGTCCGCGTCGTTCACCAAATTATTGCTACTGTGCACCAAAACACTTTCTGGGACTTGTGCATTACTCGTATAGTACTGCCATAGACTACAACGACTACACAGTTAGTTCCTCAATAATTTTATAAAATCTAGTTTAACAGGATAATATACAACCAATGTAATGAAATAATTCAACTAGAGTTATGCTGAAAAGTTTAGTAATGGATTATCAGTAGTAGTTTAAGTCGTGAAAGAAAATCAATAAGGAGTTTTGTCACGAAAATTCTCAATATTAACATACAAAAATAATTTTTATCTCTACTCAATACTTATTGATCCAATTCCAAAAGTTAGTAAACAAGGTCTCAGGATGCACATGTAATATATATAACATTTTTTGAAACCATGAGTCGATCAATGTTAGACCACCATTAGAAACCTGGAAGCACTGGACGGTTGTCTCGTCCTGATATAAGACTCATCAGTCGCAGAGCGCATCCACGACTCCTGCACCTCACAGGATTCGAACCCAGGACCTTCGGTATTGTGCGCGAACGCCCTAACCTGCGGGGTGCAGGAGTCGTGGATGCGCACTGCTGAGGAGACCCATACCAGGACGAAACGGCCGTCCAGTGCTTCCAGGTTTCTAATGGTGGTCTAACATTGATCGATTCATGGTTTCAAAAAATGTGTAACTTAACAATCTTCACAACCCCGTAATGCATATATAACATTTATTGTCCATCTAATATACAACATAACTTTTTATTTTCTTTAAGAAGAATTATATATATATAATAACATCAACAATATTAAAAATTACCTGAAAGTAAATAAGGAATATATTTAATTTCCGTCGCTTTTTCCCTCGGTCAAAGAAACTTCCAGATGTTTCAAGCAGTGTACAAATTAATACAATTCGAAATAATGAATCTGGTGGATCGATAATACTTGGGAAATCAACTAGAAAAAAATGAAAGTAGAAAAAAATGTTTTTTTTTCTAATTAAAATTTAATATGCTAATTATTATAAATTAAAAGCAGTGTACAATCTTTTGAAATTTTATCATTTATCATCACTTGACTGACAATTAATATACATATATAACATATATGTAAACTACTAAGGTTGGGGTCAGCGAGCTGATGGTAATCGATGGTTAGAGATCTTGAATGACATGGTTCAAAATCGTTTGTGATGGCGTAGGTGCATCCACTCTTAGTGTTCTTTCGAATTCTAATCTTCTGAATTCCTCATCATCTTTATCTTTCTCTTTCTAAGGTTATCTCACTGAACTATACTTCTTGAATTATATTTTCGACTACCGCTAATACTTCTCTACTACCTCTACTACTATGGGATTTGAATTGACAATTACATCTCTGTGTGCTAATGTGCTATGGCAAACTGAAATGATGTACTTATGTACGAAGTTCTGCGTTATAACTGACTGACTATATACATATATACGACATTATATAAAGAGACAGATGAGGTAACAGTGCTGACATCTTTATGTTCAATGAATAGAACGACTTTCATGAGAGCAAGACACTACTCTGAGATATTTTTCTGATTGTTATGTGTGAAACAACAACCCTAACTAGACTCAGTGGATGATGAATAAGTTCAGCACTTTTTTGTTATTCGATAAACATTTTCTGACGTTTTTGTTATGAAGGAAAGAAAATATAGTATTTCAGTACAACGCCTAAAATTAGTACGGCCGCTGTTCCAAAACTTGCATTTAATGTACGAGGATACTTATGAATACAGTGAATAATGGTAGCAGCATATTTCTAAGTTCCCTAACTTATCCAGTTAATGATTGTGTAAACAGACCACATAGTAGTCAGTGGTACCAATAGAGGGAATGTGTACAGAGCAATTATTCCTTTTGAGCCAAATGTACACTAGAAAAAGCTTTCAATTAATTATAATATTACTTTAATTACGAACAAGAAGTATTACTATTTGCATTGATAAAACTACTTACGATCAAAGCTAACACCGAATGTGAGAAGCGAGTAAAGTGTTTTGAATATCACAGGAGAATCTACCAGACAGTAGTTGTACAACAAACCAAGATATTTGACCATCACAATTCGACGCTGGTTCAAACTTGGAAGATTCAGCTTGATGAGTATAGTAAAACAGAAATAAAACTAATCAAAACTTTCGTGGCTTAAATAAAATATACTACTGAATATTTTAAGGATGAAAACGTAAAACAACAATTCAATGTGCTGATTGAAATCACTAAAGTAGTCAAGAGTTACAAACGAAACCATAGTTATTGCGACCCGACTACAGAATTTGGTAACTTAAAAATGACAAGTTATGAATTGCTCCCTACTTCTCTGCTTTATACTGCTATTTTCAAAGTGATGAGTTCTTCAACAAGAAGTGGTGTGTAGACTAATGTAATCACTAAGACATCAGATGCAGTAAGGAAAAATTTCTCTTGTCATTCAGTGCATGGCAATGAATGTATTTTATTTTTAGGAAATGCGTTGACAATTTAAAGACCTCAATATTCTGTAAACTTGAAGGGGGTAGTAGGACGTTTCGGACACTAATTGATGCACTGGATGAATGATTCGTTTAATTTATATACGCTTATATATATATATATATATATATATATATATATATATATATATATATATATATATATATATATATAATGAGAAACTTCGAACTTGCTAAAATATTCCCAATCAACAATGTATGTAAACCAGTGATAGAAAATAATTTTAAAAAAAAACTAGAATGTTTGTTTTCCAAAAATAAAGCACTTTTAGCTTACCTCCATTCCAACTCGGATATCTTCTATGACATTGTCTACAACAGCTATGGCAAAGTCTGGATGATAGGTAGCCAGTCCAGATAATACACTAGCTAGACAGTTTATATTAGTGTAACGAATATCCCATGCCCTAGTGAAAAGGGTGCATGTGAATTCGACAAGCTATCAAATTAAAAAAAAAAGAAGATAGCCATCAGAACAAGTCAGATGTATCATATTGAGAATACGAAGCAAAAATACAGTCATCAAAAAAATTACATCAGATGAGAGGAGAAGGTTTAAGCGGCAACTCAGAATAATAATAATAATACTCATGGGACAACCGAGTTAGAAATGCTGTTGTTAGGAAACGGGTACTAGGCAAGGATGACAGATTAACAGATGATACCGCATCAGTTGAGGTGGTTGGGACCTGCGTTACGTATGCCTAACCACCGACTGCCTCGGCGAGCTATGTTTTGCGATGTAGGAATAGGTTGGAAGACAGCTAGGGGCGGCCAAACCAAAACATGGCAGAAATCTATGAAGTCACTGACAAGTGGATTGAGTCATGCCTGGTTGGGATCCGCGAGATGATAGTAATCGATGGTTAGAAACCCTGAATGACACGTCTCAAAACCGTTTGCAATGATGCAGCTGCATTTATTCGTTGTGTTCTCTCAAATCATAACCTTCAGAGTTTCTCATCACCTTTATCATTGTATTTTTAAGCTTATTTAACTAGATTCTCGAACCCTATTCTCCTCGATTATTGCGAATACTTCTACTACCTCTACTACTATGGGATTTGGATTGACGATTGCATCTCTGTGTTTGTGTGGTATGGCAACTTGAACTGATGTACGTACGTACGAAGTTCTACGTTGCTGTTGATTGACTGGCTGATACTAACATTCAATTAGCCAAGACCCATTAACAAAGTATCGTAGATACTATGCACTACGTTTCACACTTTACTGAGATTCACTGAATGAAAATTGATGATACTACTCTACTTGACTGATAAAAGCAAAAAAAGACGGTTATTTCATGGATAACATAGAACTGTAATCAGGAAAGAACGTTGTTTAATACCATTTGTCAGATAAATAAAAAAAACTAACAACGACTTAGCAACTTTGTGAGGATTCGTGGTCAGTCAGTCAGTCAGTTGCAACGTAGAACTTCGTACGTATGTACATAAGTTCATGTTGCCATACCACATTATTAGCGCAGAAACGCAAATGTCAAATCAAATCCCATAGTGATAAAGATAGTAGAGGTATTAATGTTAATAAAGAAGATTAGGGTTTGAAGATATTATTCAGAAAATATAATTCAGTGAGATAAGGTTAGAAAGACAAAGGTAGAGGTGCTGGCTAATCCAGAAGATTAGGATTTGAGAGAGCTCAAAGAGTGGATGCACCTGTGCCATTGCAAACGATTTTGAGCCATGTCGTTCAAGGTCTCTAACCATTGATGACTTTCGTCTCGCGGACCCCAACCAGGTAGTCTACATCTACCAACACGACTCAGTCCACTTGTCAGTGACTTCATGGAGAGGATTCGTGGAATCATTTTTAATAGACTTTGTCGAGACCTATTGGAGTATGAGAAAAGCCGAAGTGAAGCAAATGAAATAGGATTCATACATCAAAATTTAGCAATTGAAAATCTTGTGTTTACAATCCTTAAGTTATGCCGAAAACTGTGATGTCTTCATTGTGGGAGCGAGTCTTTTGCCTGAACATTATTATTGTTTATTTTTGTGATATACTGTGAGATGATGGTTTAACTACATTGGCTAATTTGCTTATTGTCAAGTTAGGTATACATTAGAACACTTTACAAATCATCATACCACATAAGGTTACCTAAAAAAAATTTTAAAAGTTATTACATTCGAATGGAAAAGAATGAGTACTGTAAAACCTACTTCTTGATCGTCCCAATCCATTTTTCGAATTAACCGTAACGCTGAATTAACAGTAGTTCGATCTAATTTTGTAAGTAAAATATGACGGATAAACATCATTTGAGGTGTCAATTTGACAGGTTCCACAATCTAAATCGTCAATGAAAGAGTAAAATAGACGAATAAGCGAATATAATAAATATGGACTGCATTGGATGCATTGAACATATCTGATTCATTCATTAATAATAAGATTCAGTACAAATAACTTTAATTACTACAAAGGTATTTATAATCAAAAAAAAAATATTTTATTTTGTAAGAATTAGTTTGCAAAGGTGTGTGTATTAAGACAAGGATAATATATTTAGAACGTTTAAATACTGTAACCTTGTAAACTTAATAAATATGGTTTTATTAGAATTTATGTCATGAAATGATCACTCTCTAAATGCAACAACACACGTACGTAACTCTAACCGAAATCAACATTGATAACTAGTTTTTGTGTATTTTTCACAATTCACATACATATAAAATCAACTTAGTATTATTCATGTCAAATTGTTTCCTGACATTGTAGGGGAAAAAATTGATTAAAATCTAAAAATTTTAATTGTTTTCAATGAATAGTAATAATGAAAATGCTCAAGATATCAACTCATCATTAAATAGTTACTTAATAAATCATACTAAACAAACAATGAAAATGAGCTGAACAAACAAAACAGTTTTTTGAAAGAAAGACCGAAAAAAACAAATTGATCATTGCGCAAACGACATACCACCACCACCCCACCTACTACTGACTGTACGTACGTACAGTGGATGAAACTAATGAAAAGTAGTAGAATAATATAAAAGTTAAAAATCTAGTACTATTTGGTGTTGTATGGAAAAAATATTTACAAATAATAGTAGAAAGAAGAAACAAAAAACAATAATACCTGACGACGATCTGAAGGTGGTGGATTACAATAATAATATGTATTCTCAATCATAATGGAATAACGTTGATCCATGTGTAATGCAACTTTTTTTCTAAGCATTACTTCTAAGTAAACTTTTGTACGTTTATGTGATATAGGTGAACGATACAGAAAACGTCCACAAGTATCCAACAAAGCACATGCCATATCAATGTTATGATGGACAAATTGTGGAAGAAGTTGTTTTAGACAAGTTAACGCTTGATGAGCTGGATAAACTTTGAATTTGACAAGTTCCCCTTTAAACCAAAAAACAAAAAAGAATAAAAACAAAAAGCAATGAAAAACAATGCCTTAGTTTAATAACACAATTCAAGAACATGAATAAGCAGTAATAACTAAGAAAGAAAAACAACGAACTCAAGTGAAGTTTGGAAACGTAAATCCACCAAGAAAATGACTGACTGAAACCGTGATAAAATGCGCAGTAGCCGCTAAGTTTGATCTAGGCGAGTATGAGGGTATTCAAACACAGACAACTACTACAAATCATCAACCTAGAACTGGATACATGCATTTTATACCAAGCTACACTACACATAATCAGTATGACGAAATGAAAACACAAAGAGATCGAAGTAATGTAGTATACATAATATATAAGGCAAGACTAAGATTTAGCACAGAAAGAAGAGAGTAAATGCATTAGAGAGCTATTGTAAACAATTCTGAGCCGTTGTAATCTTCAAGTACAATTCTATCTACAGGTATGAAACTCAGCTGTAACCTATTAAAACTTATAGACAAACTGTTTAGACATCTAATGTCATTAGAGTAAGATCACCAAGGGTACGTTATTATCGTGTGACGAACATAGTATGTAAACTTACCAATAAATCGAACCACTTTCAATTTGGATTCGATATTTAATTGATCTCGTTTAGACAAACGCCAACGGAATTCTGCTGTAAGCATAGAATTGATATCTTGTACCAAATCCGGCATTACTGGAGCTAGTGAAGCCACAAAGCGTGCATAAAATGGCAATAAATCATAACGCGTTCTTGGAACACTAAATAAAGCTTTAGCAAGTCGTCGACGATTGGCTCGTTTATTTAGATTCAAACAGAAGTCGATAGCTGCCTATGATTTAAAAATCAAAAAAAGGTAGAATTTATTTCATTTGAAAACTAAAAATCCACCCCTTTAATGAAATAGCTACGATATTTTTAACATATTGCTTTATAATGTAACTATGAAATTTACCGTCGAAATTCATCCTTTCTTTAGGTTAACATCAAAGTAACATCTTGATTTTTAAATGTGACAATATTTTAAACCACTACCTTACTAAGAATCGCGAAGATTCGCTCCTAAAGACCATACCAAAATGTACGTCTAGATTATCTGATATAATTTGGTTTCGTATACAAAAAGATGAACGATTGTGTTAAACTATTGAATTTAAAGTTAAGATACAGTAGGCACACAATTTTTAACTTTGTATGACTAGAACTGAATTAAGCGTTGCAGTTCAAGCATTGTCTTTTTGTATTCTGAATTCTTAAAAGTCTTATTCCAAATCCTTGAACAGAAAATGTGCAACCACATAAAAAAATGTTTACCAACAAACTTTTTCACTAATATTATTACAAAGTATCCGACCACCTTTATTATCCTGAACTTATTTTTACTTACAATGTATTACCCAACATTCACCAGAACTTGCTTTTTGCTTTACTGAAAAATCCGTAAATGATACTGTACGAGCAATACTGACAAATTCAGTTATTGATGTGCAAAAGCAAAAAGTAAGTTTCAGCTACTATGTATGATTTTACTAACATTTCAATGAAAGATGGCTGTTGTTGAATTTTTGCAGTGCTACTCAGTTAAACATCAAGATTAAATCCACCTTAAATGAATAATCATTGAAACTAAACTCATTAACTTCGCAGGAAACATATTCTGTGAATTTTCAATGAAAATTAGTAATATGAAGGATGAAGTGCAATTTCACTAGTTATCTGGTGAACTGATATGAATGATTCATTTTGATTCTACTTCAATCGAATATTTCTTATATAAATATTTTCATTTCAAAAAAAGTCACTATGACTGATGACTTTCACATACATTAAGTAACGTTGATCCACTTTACTTCAATGCTGGTTGATATCAATACAGAGGAGGGTAAACAGAGCTTAATCTTAGCATTGACGTCAAGTCTTTAACAACATGAAATGAACAGTTTATTTCAGTAATGAGTAAGCGTGATCTAATAGAAAACAGAAAAATCAAAGAAAAGCGAACTATTTTGAATCCCTCTTTAAAAACCAATCAAATAGACTGAAGCAAATTCAGTACCGTTAGTGTATGTGAATACGTTTTCCGTTAGAATATTACTACTTACTCGATCAATAAGATCACGATTAATACAGTTTGGTAATTGAGTTAAAAACGTTTCCATAAGAACTTTGCCTGAAGGATTTAAATCTTCTTCACCTAAAAAAACGAAAAAAAATAATCGAGACAAATTTATGAATAATTACAAAACTTATCCCAGTTGTTATAAGCTAATTTTCGTATCTGGGAATTAGGTAAACATCATTCTGAGTAGTTAAGTAATGTCGCTATCAAATCAAAAAGCGATGTCTCAAGTTTCACAGTAAAACATATCGATGCTAATACAGTTTTCATAATCGCACAATTATAAAATAGTCTAGACACATGGTATAACATGAACATGAGAAACAGAGGAACATTCTTGAAAGTACTACATATCATATTATTTTTTCAGTAAATTCAAACAAGTTGCACTAAAAATCTTGAGACCTTAGTACCTTTAAATCTTTATACATTTTATCACTGATCATCAGTATCTGAATTATTTGAGAGAAGAAAAAAATATACACTTTAATCAAAACTACACACAAGAATGCCAAAAGAATGCATACCATCATCGGTGTTGAATAGAAATGGTCTTGATTTATCTGGTACAGATGTACAATTAGACGACTCGTTATTATCTTCTGAAACTTTAATTAACGCTTCTTCTTTAGCTAATTCTGACTCGACTGTATCAATATCAATATCTGCACAGAGAATGAAGAGAAAATGACAATTATCTTTGCGAAAAATGACCCCATTTTACATAAACTAGTTTAGAGTAACAGATAATTATTGACAAGATTGAATTGTTCAACTGGACACGGAGCTAATAACCAAAGGAATATTTAAGGTCAACGAGAATTTTCTTCGACATATCTCATGTAATTTATTGGATTGATAATAGTAACCAATCACAATACTTGTTAACAAATCCCATAAAGAAACATCTACAATTGCGTAATCTCTATTCCCTACATTAGTAGCAAATAAGATAAACTTCTTTCTATCAATTTATATTGATCGACTAAGTATGCAGTAAATTATGAATACATTTGACCTTTGAAGTAACTATTAGCTGTGCCAAAAAACACAAGTATCACACCATTGATACTTCGTTCATATGAAGGCTTAAATAAACATGAAATAAATAAAACGTTTCAATGCATGTGAGAGTTGGTTGAATGTGCGCAAGCTATGCATTGAATTCAAACCAAATCACGTTAACCATGGCATAATATGAGTAGAACTAAATCAATACCAGCTAAAAATAAATAATTCATATAGAGTATGAGTAAATGACTTTAGCGGCCGGACTACTTAGCGTTTAACTAGTGTCACAAGTTTGAGTCCCACCCTTTAGAGAGTATCATTAACCCTTATTTAAGAGTGGCTCACGACAAAGCACATAAATTTGTACGTTATGAATGATATACAACAATAATACTTAATAAATCATGATTTCTTCAGGTATTTCGAGATCGTGTATAACGTATTGACGCCCATTATTATGATAAGACACAGCTGAGCATTGAACATATCTGATCCAATGTGAACTTATCAAAAAAAATGTACATTTTACATCTTAAACATAGTTACCTAAGCCGAGAGTAAAGGACTGGAAAGCACACAAAGTATATAAACCGGTATATTTACATAAATCAAGCATTTTCCATAGGCAGATCGTACTGTAATATTGCTAGATTTGAATCATGAAGAACGAATAACCGGATGTATTCTATCTAGCAACACTGTTGACCAAAAAAAATTACTTAACCCAAAAACACATGAATGTGCACTGGAGAAAAACCTCTGTGAAGCATGACAAAATTATGAAAATAGCAAGTGGAAGCAAACAGTACCTTCAGTTCCGACAGAATCTCCATCTTCACTCTTAGGCTGATTTGAGTCTACACCAGCTTGTTCACTTTCTTTATAGAGAATCTATTCGAAAACAACAGACACATGAGAGAGGTAAACTAGTAGTACAGACAGTAAAGCGAAAACATGGATCAAATATACACTTATTTTGTGGATAATTCTAATAGAAGTCAGAAATACCGAATAGGTGACTAAGCAGAATCTGCTATACAAGCAACATCACAAAAGCAATCACGAAGAAAATTACTAAAAAGTTAACTGATTCGATACAACCAAATGACAATTTGCAAACCAAAAATGAAATTCATAATATCCTTTGAAGTTGAAACTAGTGAGGTATATATAGGTATTTCAAAGTTAACCGAGATTTTCAATAAAGTAATGAAACGATATTCTTAAAGTACGTGTTGTCATTAACCAAGTTTTACTTGCAAACAAATATATCTCAAATTCACTGTATCCCATGCAAGGTAATAATAGGATTAAAAATTACCCGGATACAAGATGATTACAATATGAAATATAAAGCAATAAAGACAGTATAAAAAGTGAACAAACAGCAGGCAACTTACTGCAGGTACCATTGCTTTGATATCAGGCAAACTTTCGTAAAACAAACGCGTATCTTCATCTTCAAACAGATTAACTTGTTCTTGAACAACTTTCTGTAAATGTTAAGTTTGATGATTAATAGATTTATCACTCACTTCGGTTGAATCAATTTCAATCAAGTCTGATGTAGATTCATCTATAAATGATAAAGATATTTTTTCGTTATTAATTATCAGTCAGTTAGTTGTAACGTAGAAATTGGTACATATACGTGTAATAATTCAAATGTCCATTCCCAATCAGCAATTTTAGTTGCCAAAGGTGTTAAGGAATGAAACAGTAAATCAATTTACTCATTGCTAATTATCTGGACAAGCAAGTAATACAACAGGTTAGGGGTAATCAATACTGATATACGAACTAAAAATCCTAGAAATATTCTTTGAAAGCATGGTCTACTGAGACCATCTTTGTTGCAGGCTTGTTTGATATTGTTCAAATGAAGCCTTTTTCAACAATTAAACCGTCTGATACAGCATGGGTTATCGAACTCACTATTTTGATAGTTAAGAGTTAAGTTTAGAGGAAATCTACGATAAAGTCAAACTCAGACCAATGAAAACCAAATTCGAAATTCAATGTTCACGTGCCAGTCTTTCAACTGAATTTAACTACTCAGTTGCTTAGATCACAAGGAAGTGGAATGCGGACGCTTGAACGAACGAACAGAAGTCGTATCCATTAGCTACTGTGATACAACAGTACGACTTCAATGATCGATCAACTAGATAATACGACTGGAAAACTATATTTTAATTTTAGAGATCCCTTGGTACTTCATAACAATTATATAACCATGTCTTTTCTTTATAATCCGTATACGGTTGAATTGAAACTGGATGAATTCGAAAATCAAAGGCAAGAAGTAATATAATGTTCAGAAACAAAAATAGGGAATAGATGCATTGACGTCGCAGGTACCTGCTTTAAAACATAGTACCTAGTTCCTAACCACTAGTCATAATTATCATGTGAAATCAGATTAAGAAGACTGTAACTTCACCTATGACACAGATCAAAAATCACCTTTTTCACTAATTGATATTACCTCCTAATCTGCTGATCTTTTTGGAAGGAAAGATCTGACTCATACATGAACGATTTCAGTCGATTAAGTTTCATAGCTTCAATAATTAATCTCCAGAGTTTACCTGACACTCCATTTCTAACAGCAGCATCACCTACTTACTTATTGATTGCACAACCAGAGGGGAATACTTGGAAGGCAACTTTAGTTGAAATCTTGTGATATATCATTTGTATTTAGTATGCAGTTTAATGATAAGCTTCATAAATACACAATGAAATTAAACTTACCTTTAATCATAGATGAGAAATCGAGTGGTGGATCTGCATCCAATAGATCTGCTAAAGTACTTAAAGATTCATGAAATTTACGACAGGCTGACATTAGATGCTCTGCTCGTTCTTGTCTTTCTTCGCTTACTTCACCACGACTTTCAAGTTGGTCTTTGTTACCCGAAATAATTCGTTGGGTTTCTTTGACCATATTTTGTAAACGACGCATTGCTCCAGCTAGGTAGTCATTGAGTAGGGTACGACATTTGGCTTGACGTTCGGATGACATGAAAATTGAACGTGGGACCGGCATTTCATACTTTTCAGATAACAGTCTACATTAGATTAAAACATATTAAATAATTAAATCAATCACGAAATTGATGACAATACATCAATGGTTATGAAGGGTTTAGGGAAATCATCATGAAGACTTCTGACTTGGGAGTCTCATTCTGACGCACAAGCTTATCCAGTTAAACAGCACAGACTCTCTAACGTTACTTTACCTAAGAAATATCCTGCGAGAGTTCAAACGGAAAAGTATTCAACACTGAAGCGATTTCGGGACTTGTGTTAATTACTATAATGTATTTGCGCTTGAATACAAGTGATATGATTTAAGAAGCTGCACATTCAATCGCAGATCCTAAGGTATTCCTTTGATAGAAACAATGCAGGTTCGATTCGCATGGACAACAATGCCATTCATATAATACGTGAAGATTAATGGTATAACTTGAGGGTTATAGTTGCTCGAATCTGTTTATATTAACTGGTGCTATGCAGTGTAATAGCTGATGATAAACTTAAAGGTCAAGATAATCTAATGTTAGTTGCTCTTCAGAATAAATATTTTTGAATAATGATCAAGAACCTACCAATGTCCATGCAAGCTACTTAATTGACATACCATCCAATATTATGGTTGACGGATTATCCGTTTATTCAATTATTTGTGCAAAGAAGCACCTAAATACTTTTGTGCTACGCAAATTATTGAATTTGAGTGGGCTGGAATACTTACCAGCTGCCAGAACGTCAGCACATGGGTTTTGTTAAGGGGGACACATCTTGAGCATTTGACGTGAAAATCTAGTCCTCGAAGCAGTGGAGCAACGTTAGTCGTATGGTAGCCGGTGACCAAGAATAGGTTTGTATATTATTTATCTGTTCTCTCCGAATTGTGGAGCCCTATGAGCACCACCAGTTTGGTAGCAGGGTTTCCAACTCCCCTAGGTGTTTGCTTCATACCCACCAAATCAGTTAAAGCACCGAACACTCGTTTTTCGTCATTTCAATTTCGTAAACAACACCCATGGTGTAAGTAGACAGCCGGTAGGACTTCCATGACAGTGGCTATACACGCGTGGCCATGTGGAAGTTTTTTCAGAGGAGGAAAACCGTCGCCACCCAATATTTTGCGTCAAATGCTCAAGATGCGTCCTCTTAGAAAACCACCCGCTGACGTTCGGACAGCTGGGAAGTATCCCAGCCTACTCAAATTCAATAATCTGTACAGCACACAAGCATTTAGGTGCAACTGTGTTTAAAGAAATAATTATCCCATATTACACTTATCAATGTAAATGGATGCACTTAATAGTTCTAAAATATCAGTAACATGATTCGTTTAGATGGACTGGCAATTTAGATGTCTTGAAACAAACATATCTACATAAAATTGCGTTTTGCAGTCTGTATGGCATTAGCTAACAATTTGTTTGTTCCTTTGACGATCGATACGCACCTTAGGTCCCAGTTTATCTATGATGAAGCATCAGAAGACAAATTTTCAGTTCGTTGGAATATTACGTACATATTAATTTTTTGGTGAGGATTCAAGATACAATTAGAATTCGATAAACTTAATTATGCCCTAGGGAGATAGTGAAACTGAGTATGAGTAACTATTCGAGAGCTATGAAAATATTATTTTAAAATTTCACATAAAATCATTCAATTTGCAATTAATTTACCGTATGCGGCGTGGAATAACTCCGATCCAGTCGTCACTGCAATGTCTACAGAAGCTACAAAGTATCCCAATGTTAGAGAAATTATCATGATCATTTGCAGCTAGAAGAGTCAACTGACCAGCTAACAGTCGGAGACCATCAGCCTCTCGAAATATTCCGATCGTATTTAGATCAGCGAATAAGGCCAAATCAACTCGTAGTTTGGAAAGATTAGTGTTCTACAAGACCTCTCTAGAAAAATTAGTGTCGATTACCTTCAAATCTTTGTGGGAAGCAAAAGATTTCTTCCAGGCATCGAAAAACAACGCTCCAAAATCTGAATATCGCTGATACATAGCTGAACACAATTTCAGCATAAAAGGAATGTCAGTTAGTTTTATTTTCGCCTCAACGATTGCGGTTGCGACTTCTTCAACATACTTGGAAAGATTCAGAGACTCGAACTCAGATAAAAGTGCATCTTTCTGGCTATCGAGAAAGTTGCGCTGAAAAATTTATGAAATTAGTAAAATACCCGACCTTACCACTTTTTTAACAAAAGCAGTGTTCTTTTTCAACGTTGAATCCTTTTTTACAAAGAAGGAGTCATCTGGCCATTTGCCTGCAATTGCCAAATTTTGCTCCAACAAAGTTGTTTTTAGAGACAAACGTTCAGAAGTCTCGACAATAAACTCAGTTACTTGCTTTTGCTGGAAAGGTTATTAGCTAGTTTAGAAAAACATACATCTATATCAGATATAATATGATCTTGTTCGTTCATTTTTGGTTCTTTTGGAAGTTCACATTATATTGAGCTGTAAAAAAAAGACATCTGATTAAAAGCGATCAAACAGAGACGTGGCACGAGTTCATGAAGTCAATGACATTAGGACTGAGTCATTCTAACAAACGTAGACAATTTGGTTACGGTCCACTTGAATATTGTAACCAAAAGTTATACTTAAATGTCATGTCTCAGAATCATTCTCACTGGTATAGGTGCATTTGTTCTCTATATTTCTTTAGACTTCTCACCATTTTGACCATTTATATTTCCTTGTTTTATCTTCCGCAACTACTACTGTTAAAAGTGTCACCACCCCTACCACTGAGATTTATCTGAAATCACTAATCACGTTGTGCTAATGGGGTATAGAAAATCGGACGAATATACACGTGTACTAGATCCTAGGTTGGGTTTGACTGACCAACTAATAACAGTAGTGTAGAACACAGTATTATTTTCGTACGAATAAAACGATGGAAGCAGGTCTGTCGGATAACAACTGATAAGTGAGTTTACAACATTGATTAACGTCGCAACCTTTGTTATTTATTTATCCAGAGTGAAGAGTAGAAACACTGACTAATGCACATTTATGAGGCTTCGCTTTATTTTTAAATCGACTAGAATACTGTTAAACTTTGAAACCACAGGGATTAGGGTGCTGAATCCCTATTAACGTTTAAAATTAAGGGCAACAATGATCATGTTCCCCCTAAAAATAAACCGTTAAGTATCAGAACAGGATCTACTTACTAATTACTCTGGAGTCTATCGCTAAATGCAGGACCTCATTTTCCAATTTGCTACTATTACAACACGATCAGATAACTTCAGGATGCGATGGGGGTGACGCAACCAACCTTCGCAATGCCATACATCCGAATTCTTAGACAGAGCCTTGGAAGGTATCAAAGGTGAGTGACAAACGTATTTGAGACAATGAAAAAAGGGGATACCATAGAAGACACAAACTACGTTGTGGTGTACACCAAACTACATTTTTGAACGATCCGCAGTAATACAAGTAAGGTAAATACTTAACCTCTGGGTTTATATATTGGATATGTATATCGGGACACTATACTAAAGACATGAGCGAAAACGCTTAACTGTACTCAATTACCACATACATACCATACATATTCACAAACCAAACGATCCGCGAGTGTTTGATCGATCAGCTCTGTAAAACATTTACGAAACCTTACAACCGTTTAGTTGCTATCAATGTAATAAAACAGGCTTTTGTCCTATCGCTTCCCGTGGACAGCTCGTCACCTTATTTGTTATATTTAATTTAACAGGAATTAGGTGGAAATACGTGAATGTATACTCGACATAGATGCTTATATACGGTCTCTCTGGATTATTCTGGAACGTTCTCATCACTGTCTGCCACAAGACTTCTTTTCAATGCCTCTCTACCCCAGAAAGGTATTCTCACACCTAAATGAGTCGATAGAAAAGTAATTAGTAGACAGCAAATGTCAACTCACGGCTAAAAACCTTTAGCCTTTAATACTCGTAAATAAAAGGAATATATGGTCATAATTCATCACATTGATGCTTACTTCATCTTCATAGATCGACAATACCCTTAAATGTTGGACTACCTAACTAGGAGTTTGAATGGTAAATAAATCCCCAAAATGAATATTTCTGCAGGTCCGACATTGATGCTGGCCTGATTAGTTTAGTGGTTGCATTCAGCTGAAGACACTCAGTCACGAATCTGCACCAGATCATCGCTGATTGCTCCGTGCAAAGTGTCTCCTCACATAACCTACAATTTTTGTTCACTCACTTCCCAACCCACACCCCAACCATCATTCAAATCCTCATCATTTCTGACTTCTGATTTGATTTAGTTTTGGGTATGCTCGACCTGTAATATGTTGCGGCCAAAAGCATTGCCCAACTAGGAATGCCAGTGCCATTCTCTGTGGTTAGCACGACGTGATCTGGTGCACTTGACTAGACGCCGCTAGTCTATTCCGTCCCATGACGCTATATGCACCTACACATTTTTTAGATATCGGATGTCATCTTTGTTTTCACATTTTTTTATCGCATGTAGATATTCTATACTTATTATATGGGGATACACGCCTAAGCTTCCTAAAGTTATAACTCTGGCAACCCCGAACTTTCAACTGATCCCACTCTGGCCTGAGAATATGGAAACATGTCTGTGCTATGCATGGGCTGACTTCCAGAAGCATGGTGTGAACGACCCACGAGCTCAACTCCTCGCTGTAGTAAGGACACAACTCGGGTAGAAAAGCTACGTTACACCTGTTATATTTACTAGTGATGTTTCAAAACCTTACCACACCCTAAAAAAAGCGATTCTTGGACATAGAGACCTAAAGTTTGGATCAGCTTTTCCACAACATCGAACTGTAAGGCGGGAACGGAATTGTTGTTGCGCATGAGGGAGGTCGTCAGCAAACGAATTTTTGCCGAACGCCTTTCCTGATGGTTCTTCCTGTCTTAATATACTCAACGGGAGCAAGCTGTACTCGTCTCACTTGAAAATAATTCCGTGGACGAACCGGACACATCTGCCGTTTGGATTCTGATGATCACAGCAACCCGCAGCTCTAGGGCTTGTTCCTTTTGACAGACACCTCCAACGACTTAGAAAAAGTTACAGATCTGTGTAATACAATATGGCGTCTGCAAACATGCTCACCACAGTTGGGAATGACCAAAGGTTCCCTGACGGAAGCCATCTCGTGAAAAATCTATCCCTAGACCACGAGAAACATAACTGGAATTGGTGTTGGTACCACAAAACATATGGCCAGTCTTTTCGAAAGTAGGGGAGACCACATGGTTTCGTTAGCTCCAAAACCTCAGTTATAGACATTCCGGGAAACTTGCCCGCCGGTATGCGTTGATGGCAACCATCGTTGATGGATAAAGCCGTCATCTTGACGTCACTGTTGTGATGATGAAGGTTTTCTATCTCATCCTTTCAGCAAACGCAAGTGGTCGGCTAGATGATTCCGTTTTCAGACTAGAGGCAGCCGACGGAGAACTGATCGACACTAGAGGAAAAGGTGGATCAACCTTAATGTAGGCTTAGAAAAATCCATTAGCCGGATTTTAGTTTTGGCAGACGTGCTGATGCCAAATTTTAGTACAGACTTGCTAGATCACCATAACATATTTGTCGACCCAAGCAAACGGATTAGTTGACAGGTATAATAAATTATCTTTTTTTAGAGTTTTATTCTCCTGTTGTATGTTATGTTCGGTCACAGCCAAACACATAATCGACCCCTTCTTTCAACAAACACTCGACATGAACTCAAAACACTACCAGACGCGACCGCGATCACTGGGTATAACCCAGCGATGTCGCACATCATATCACGACTACATGAACAAAAGGTAGGAGACAGAAAGTTTAAGGTTTTTCAAAAACCAATTCGATTACAAGATAGATTTAGTGTTTATCAGGCATTAAAATATCTGCTGGTTAAAGCCTACAGCCAAGTCCCAATGCCTGCGGAAGACATTCCTAAAACGTTTGTCACCACTTCATTTGAACTTTAGGAATTCTCGTGTATGCATTTTGGTTTAGGAAATGCTGCTCAAATTTTCAAAAGATTCACTGACAACGTTGTAGTAAGACTCTGATTACTTCTCGCGAGATTACCAAGTAAAATCCCGTTAAATCCAGGAATCAAAGGCAAGACCATGACTGAATGACAAGGTGGGTTTATTCGCGGTTCCGTGATATCGAAGATATATCAAGACCGGAATAAAGCAGCAGCTAACAACCACCAAGGATAAACGATTGATGGGAGACACTCTTGGCATGCGAGTTATGGTCGTTCGTACAGTTAAACAAAAAGGAGTACAACAGAACAGTTATGGCTGTAATAGTTTAAAATAGTAATTGTTTCCACTTCAGCAATTGTGTTCTCTTCGTAAAAGCACACCACTACGACGTTTTCAGAAGTATGGAGTTTGTGCGTGCTCATGTTGATCGCCGTATAATCGCACGTCTGGGCAGATAATCTTATTTCCAGTATCTGAAATTTGCTTTCCAGTGACTTTTAAAATATGGGAATAGTATTGTAAGTAATTATATTACTCTCGCAGTCCTCCCTGAAACCGAAAGGCGTAGGTTTATACGCGTCTCACCCAGTCCAAGTCCAAAAACGATAATTCTGGGAAAGAACGGTTCTATATTTAATCAAAAAGGGAAATTCAGACAATTACCAAAAACAATATTACACCTTCGAGTTTCTAATCACCACAACAGGTTCCGTTCCTTGAAGAATAAGTGCTTCCAGTCAGCTGCTGCTAGAGTATCAAATTCAAATATGGCTGTAGCCATATTAAGTATCAATTTTAAACAACACATGTATAGTTGAGAAGGAAACATAGAAACTTCAATATAAGTACAAGATATAGAAATGATAACAATATACCAATGATAAAATCTCAAATGGGATCAAATAAAGTACCAAAATATCGAACAGAAGAGTCAGTCAGATCATAACACAAATATATATATATATATATATATATATACATGGAGGGATTTTCCAAAAGCAAAGCCTTCAAAATAGATTCTACAAGTATGTCTATACCGTATGTACATACCGTGTGGCAGCAAAATCAATAAAATAAGAGGGGTTTTTGATCTTTTTATTTTACACATATACGATAGAATATAAAACCTATTTTTCGGTTTCCAACACGATGTAGATTGAAAATGTAAACAAAAGATAGTACTACACCGAAGGGAAGATAAAGAAAAGCAAGCTTTTAAGTTTTCTTACACCCAAAATTCGCTTAGATGACCTGGAAATCCCACAGAGTTTCCGAATAGAATGGTTTTAGGCTGCTTTTAGAAAACCGAATAGTTTTCTTTTTGGTAGTTAATGATCGAAGGCTATATTATAGTCATGGTGGTCTTGTCACTTGTCTGTGTTGGAGAAATCGACAGAGGCGAGACGGCTGTCAGCCGTGGA